ACACGACATGTATGATGTGTCCGCCGGGGTACTACAAGCCGGAAAGGGGGCTTGAGAGGTGCTCAGTATGCCCTTCAGGCACATACAGCAATGGATCACGAGCTGCGTCGTGCGGGGGGAACTGCAGCGGGAGCTCGTCGGCATATCTTGGAGGAGGCGCCACGGGCTGTGCGACCTGCCCCATCCACTCCACCTCCGTGCAGGGCAGCTCGTCTCGGTCAGACTGCGTGTGCGAGGCTGGCTTCTACGATGCTGAAGCGGCAGCGAGGTCGTCGACGCAGGGCAGCAACGCTACCATCGCTTCCTCTCTTGCAGCTGGGCCGGACTGCCGCCGTTGCGCGGAGGGAAGCTACAGCAATGGTACCGGCTCTACAGTGTGTGCCGAGTGCCCAGCCCACACTGTCTCTGCTGCAGGCAGCTCTTACATATGGGAGTGCAAGTGCCAGGCAGGCTTCTACGATGAAAGCCCTCCTGCCAACACATCGGGCGCAAGGCGCTGGGGGCCAAGTTGCATCCCTTGTGCTTCCGGGTCCTACAGCGATGTAGAGGGATCGACAACCTGCACAGCTTGCCCCGAAGGCATGACCTCGAGGCTTACAGGCAGCGCAAGCATCCTTGATTGTCGTTGCACGAGCGGCAAGTACATGGACCCTAAGAGCGGGGCTTGCCTAGCCTGTCCAGGGGGTACATACAACAACGAAAGCCGGCTGACGTTCTGTCAACACTGTCCGGATGACATGGAGTCAGCACCGGGCTCCTCCAGCGTAGACGACTGTAAGTGCACCATGGGCTTCGTGAGCGGTCTGAATGGATCTACTGGCTGTCACGGGTGTCCAGCAGGATCCTACAATGACGTAGTCGGGGCGACGTATTGCAAGAGCTGCGGGAGCCATCAAAGCTCCCCTGCGCAGAGCACATCCATCGCTGCATGTCAATGCTTACCAGGCTTCACGCCTGGCAGCGCTTCCAACATCTCCGCAAGGGGGCAGCAGCCGCTCGATCGCTACGGCTGCGATCCGTGCAAGCCAGGCACCTACAAGGCGGGACCAGGCAACGAGGAGTGTGCGGTGTGTCCGGGAGGATCTTACTCGTCCATGGGCGGATCGACAAGCTGCACGACCTGTCCCCCGCACTCGTCGTCGTCGGCAGGCGCAGCAAGCGTCGAGTCGTGCGAGTGCAGTATATCAGGGTTGAAATCAGCGCTGGGAGGCTGCTTGGGCTGCCCCTCGGCGAGCGAGTGCGGATGCGATGCAGGCTATATGCGTATTGATAACAACACATTTAGCAGGGATCAATGCGAGCCTGGACAACCATTCACAAACGTTTCAAGAGACGTCAGCATCTCCTGGATACACGACATGTATGATGTGTCCGCCGGGGTACTACAAGCCGGAAAGGGGGCTTGAGAGGTGCTCAGTATGCCCTTCAGGCACATACAGCAATGGATCACGAGCTGCGTCGTGCGGGGGGAACTGCAGCGGGAGCTCGTCGGCATATCTTGGAGGAGGCGCCACGGGCTGTGCGACCTGCCCCATCCACTCCACCTCCGTGCAGGGCAGCTCGTCTCGGTCAGACTGCGTGTGCGAGGCTGGCTTCTACGATGCTGAAGCGGCAGCGAGGTCGTCGACGCAGGGCAGCAACGCTACCATCGCTTCCTCTCTTGCAGCTGGGCCGGACTGCCGCCGTTGCGCGGAGGGAAGCTACAGCAATGGTACCGGCTCTACAGTGTGTGCCGAGTGCCCAGCCCACACTGTCTCTGCTGCAGGCAGCTCTTACATATGGGAGTGCAAGTGCCAGGCAGGCTTCTACGATGAAAGCCCTCCTGCCAACACATCGGGCGCAAGGCGCTGGGGGCCAAGTTGCATCCCTTGTGCTTCCGGGTCCTACAGCGATGTAGAGGGATCGACAACCTGCACAGCTTGCCCCGAAGGCATGACCTCGAGGCTTACAGGCAGCGCAAGCATCCTTGATTGTCGTTGCACGAGCGGCAAGTACATGGACCCTAAGAGCGGGGCTTGCCTAGCCTGTCCAGGGGGTACATACAACAACGAAAGCCGGCTGACGTTCTGTCAACACTGTCCGGATGACATGGAGTCAGCACCGGGCTCCTCCAGCGTAGACGACTGTAAGTGCACCATGGGCTTCGTGAGCGGTCTGAATGGATCTACTGGCTGTCACGGGTGTCCAGCAGGATCCTACAATGACGTAGTCGGGGCGACGTATTGCAAGAGCTGCGGGAGCCATCAAAGCTCCCCTGCGCAGAGCACATCCATCGCTGCATGTCAATGCTTACCAGGCTTCACGCCTGGCAGCGCTTCCAACATCTCCGCAAGGGGGCAGCAGCCGCTCGATCGCTACGGCTGCGATCCGTGCAAGCCAGGCACCTACAAGGCGGGACCAGGCAACGAGGAGTGTGCGGTGTGTCCGGGAGGATCTTACTCGTCCATGGGCGGATCGACAAGCTGCACGACCTGTCCCCCGCACTCGTCGTCGTCGGCAGGCGCAGCAAGCGTCGAGTCGTGCGAGTGCAGTATATCAGGGTTGAAATCAGCGCTGGGAGGCTGCTTGGGCTGCCCCTCGGCGAGCGAGTGCGGATGCGATGCAGGCTATATTCTGATAAAAACAAACAAAAGCCTTGCAATAGATTTATGGAATCAAGGCACAAGCAATGCGTCTCCTGGATACACGACATGTATGATGTGTCCGCCGGGGTACTACAAGCCGGAAAGGGGGCTTGAGAGGTGCTCAGTATGCCCTTCAGGCACATACAGCAATGGATCACGAGCTACGTCGTGCGGGGGGAACTGCAGCGGGAGCTCGTCGGCATATCTTGGAGGAGGCGCCACGGGCTGTGCGACCTGCCCCATCCACTCCACCTCCGTGCAGGGCAGCTCGTCTCGGTCAGACTGCGTGTGCGAGGCTGGCTTCTACGATGCTGAAGCGGCAGCGAGGTCGTCGACGCAGGGCAGCAACGCTACCATCGCTTCCTCTCTTGCAGCTGGGCCGGACTGCCGCCGTTGCGCGGAGGGAAGCTACAGCAATGGTACCGGCTCTACAGTGTGTGCCGAGTGCCCAGCCCACACTGTCTCTGCTGCAGGCAGCTCTTACATATGGGAGTGCAAGTGCCAGGCAGGCTTCTACGATGAAAGCCCTCCTGCCAACACATCGGGCGCAAGGCGCTGGGGGCCAAGTTGCATCCCTTGTGCTTCCGGGTCCTACAGCGATGTAGAGGGATCGACAACCTGCACAGCTTGCCCCGAAGGCATGACCTCGAGGCTTACAGGCAGCGCAAGCATCCTTGATTGTCGTTGCACGAGCGGCAAGTACATGGACCCTAAGAGCGGGGCTTGCCTAGCCTGTCCAGGGGGTACATACAACAACGAAAGCCGGCTGACGTTCTGTCAACACTGTCCGGATGACATGGAGTCAGCACCGGGCTCCTCCAGCGTAGACGACTGTAAGTGCACCATGGGCTTCGTGAGCGGTCTGAATGGATCTACTGGCTGTCACGGGTGTCCAGCAGGATCCTACAATGACGTAGTCGGGGCGACGTATTGCAAGAGCTGCGGGAGCCATCAAAGCTCCCCTGCGCAGAGCACATCCATCGCTGCATGTCAATGCTTACCAGGCTTCACGCCTGGCAGCGCTTCCAACATCTCCGCAAGGGGGCAGCAGCCGCTCGATCGCTACGGCTGCGATCCGTGCAAGCCAGGCACCTACAAGGCGGGACCAGGCAACGAGGAGTGTGCGGTGTGTCCGGGAGGATCTTACTCGTCCATGGGCGGATCGACAAGCTGCACGACCTGTCCCCCGCACTCGTCGTCGTCGGCAGGCGCAGCAAGCGTCGAGTCGTGCGAGTGCAGTATATCAGGGTTGAAATCAGCGCTGGGAGGCTGCTTGGGCTGCCCCTCGGCGAGCGAGTGCGGATGCGATGCAGGCTATATGCTGGCGCTGAGGAACTTTACACTTTTAGCAGGGATCAATGCGAGCCTGGACAACCATTCACAAACGTTTCAAGAGACGTCAGCATCTCCTGGATACACGACATGTATGATGTGTCCGCCGGGGTACTACAAGCCGGAAAGGGGGCTTGAGAGGTGCTCAGTATGCCCTTCAGGCACATACAGCAATGGATCCGCAAGCTCGTCATGCAGCCTATGCGGTCAATTCTCTATATCGCCAGCAGGTAGCTCGCTCAGATCTCAATGTACTTGTGTCTCCGGTGCTATTCCGGTTGGATATCAGACTGGAATATGCCTGCCTTGTTCTGCAGGCAGTTACAGGTCAGAGGATGGATCTTCGTGTCGATTGTGTCCTTCTGGAACTTTTAACAAAAATTTTGGATCCGATAGTATCATGTCCTGCCAACCATGTCCGCTCAACTCCACCACGTCTCAACCGGGATCTATTTCTCCTGGAGACTGCTTGTGCAAACAAGGTTTTTACAGCAGCGGAAGCACTTTTTGTACTCTATGTCCACTGGGCTTTTACAAAGACACTATCAGCAATACTTTGTGCTTACCATGCAAACCTGGGACCTACAGTCTCGTGGAGGGTGCAACTTCTTCCATGGCCTGTGTTGACAAATATGCATACACCCCTACACCTCCAAACGCTATTGAAATTGCGCCGTTACCACCTATTCTCAATATTCGAGGAATTTCCGATAATACTGGAGCATACCAATCATATGCTGTAGTAAATATTTCGGATTCAACTGATAGATGTTCTGTTTTCGCAGGCTTGAATGTGCAAACTATTTCATGTTCTGCGAGTGGCACGATATCAAGTTTGGTAATGATCATTCTTGAGTCTTCCAGTCTCAAAGCCATTACTTGTTGTTCGGGCAAGGGCAGTCAAATTCTTTCCAATGATTTAGTCATCGTTCCATTTGCCTACCTTGAAATAGATTTGATAATATCTCCAAGTGACGCACCGAATATCGATATATCTAAGCTGGATCCAACCATCCAAACGATTGTATCGGTCCTCAATGTTTGGACTGAAATCATCACTACCGTATCCTTTCAAGGCTTGAATCGAAGGCAATCCAACTTTGTGCAGCCATCGTTTCGGGTACTTGCTATCTCTACGCAGGACGCCAACGATTTGAAATACAAAGCAGAAAATAACCTTGCCGATGCCTTTTTTAAAGCTTTTGGGTGGAGGGTGCAGGTAAAATGTAAAATTGTCCAACAGAAAAGCGCAAAATCTGGACTAAAGCTTGATTTTATTTTGAGCATTGTTGGAGGGGGTGTTGGCACTCTGATTTTGGCATACACTTTGAGGAGAAAACGAACAGATTTGTCAAAAAGCTTAAAGGTGGCATTTCGAAAAATGTCCATTCTCGCTAAAATTGGATCAAGTGAACAGCTTGATAATTCTCATGAATCAGTTGCTGAAAGTACTTCTGCAAGCTCATCGTTGATCATACACGAAATAGAGAATGGTATTCCCTTCGAAGAATCAACAGCCAGTATTGGACTGAGCTGTGTTGCAGCACCTGACACATTACAAAAAACAGCTCGAAACTCATTTTTCTTGTTGGACGATGATCAACTCAAATTGATCACATGCCATAGATGTTTTGAACAGAAAACAGATAACGACATTGAAGAAAAACACTTCTCGCAAAGAGCAGTTCAAGATCAGAACAGCGAAAGCTTCCATGATTCAGAGCTTGAAGAGCAAGAAACAGCAGAATCTTCAAAGACGAGAGATTCCAATTCCACCGAACCTGCAGCAGTACTGTCGGAAGGGCCCACACGGCAGAGGCCCGACGATCTGTTTTCCAAGCTGGTCACGGAGCCTGAGGTACCTTCCTGGCTTGAGGAGTTGAAGCGCAGGCGTCAGATGTCCACGGAGCCTTCCGACGAGAGCAGCAAATATCCCGCTGACGCAGTTGCGACGATGCTATCGGAAGGGCCCACACGGCAGAGGCCCGACGATCTGTTTTCCAAGCTGGTCACGGAGCCTGAGGTACCTTCCTGGCTTGAGGAGTTGAAGCGCAGGCGTCAGATGTCCACGGAGCCTTCCGACGAGAGCAGCAAATATCCCGCTGACGCAGTTGCGACGATGCTATCGGAAGGGCCCACACGGCAGAGGCCCGACGATCTGTTTTCCAAGCTGGTCACGGAGCCTGAGGTACCTTCCTGGCTTGAGGAGTTGAAGCGCAGGCGTCAGATGTCCACGGAGCCTTCCGACGAGAGCAGCAAATATCCCGCTGACGCAGTTGCGACGATGCTGTCGGAAGGGCCCACACGGCAGAGGCCCGACGATCTGTTTTCCAAGCTGGTCACGGAGCCTGAGGTACCTTCCTGGCTTGAGGAGTTGAAGCGCAGGCGTCAGATGTCCACGGAGCCCTCCGACGAGAGCAGCAAATATCCCGCTGACGCAGTTGCGACGATGCTGTCGGAAGGGCCCACACGGCAGAGCATAGCGTTGCTTTTCCGGCCGGGCGCTCATAGGAAAAATTGGCAAGATTTTTTTTTTTTCGAAGGGCCTGTGGGGTCCCTTCATTTCATGCCATGTGGGAGTACCCTACTTTGAGAAGGCGTGTAGGAGGGTACTCGCTCTTAGGAAAATCGTTGCTGCGCAGGGCCAAAGAGGGGTAGGGTGATTTGAATTTGGTTGCTTGGACACCTCACCACCGTCGGCACGCCAAAACCAAAGTAAAAGTACGAGTTTTAGAAGTATCTGTGGTACCAACTTAATATTGCAGCGTTTATATGGTACAAAACGAGGGCCAAACTGGTCGGAACTTCGACTTCCGAGAACCCCTCCGTTTGACTTTCGTTGGGGGGTGGGGTGGGTATGGAGCATCCTCAACTACCCACCTTTGAACCAGTTTGAAACTGTGTGATAGGGGTTGGGGGGTAGCCCCCATTTCTCATTCCCCAAGCCCCCTCTCCCTGGACGAGCAAGAGGCGATGAAATGGTGCCTTCCTGACTCGCGAGGATGAACCTTGACATTGAGAGACTTCGAATCCAACCCAACTGAGATAGGAATGAGATGAAGATCTCATATCATACCTGTAAGAGATGATCGAGCTTCTTTCTCAACTCTGCAGGTTGGGCCAAGGTTTGAATCATCCATCGCGTACTGGAATATGCACCCTAGGTACAAACAATCCGCGTGTGTACTCGAAAATATTCTTCGAAGACAAGATGAAATTTTCATGAACAGCTAAGCAACTAATGATAGATTCACCATTGAACAGAATCAACTCTGATTGACCCTTCTTTCAAATTGCCGTAGGTTGAACGTTGAGCTCAAATGCATGATTTGTGAGAAATTTGTATCAAACTGTACCTTAAGCGACTTTGCTGTCTAAATATGTGTTCTCATGTCATCACTCACTTTCAATTCTTCTAATCTTACGGTCAGGATTCATGCACCTCACTTTTCTATAGAGAAAGCTTTACATGCTCAACCGTTCAATGATGCATGAAGAGACGTTTGCACAAAGGATTTCTTTACCTGCCAGGATAGATGACTTTGAATCATCGTTGTTGATCATGAATCACTATACCCATGATCAAGTGCATTGACAATTGCATTTCCATGTTTCATGACGTTGGATGATTTTTCTGCATTGCAACTAAGTTCTTCCTCTGTCATGACATTTCCACAACGCTGCAGAAACCTAGTTAGAAATGAAACAATGTGCAGATGAATCTGATATCAATAAATGAGATGTTCTTCGAATCAATCCTGCCTTGTTTGGACAGTTCGCAATGCTACCATGCAACAGTAGAGTTCCTGTCGCATTTGGCTCTACAGAGGAGTGCCTTGTTCAACAGAGCAAGCACTCGATGATTGTAAACGAACCACAAACACTGTGAATCAATAAACAGAATTCCACATTCAGGTGATCATATCTTTATTACAAGCGTTTCAATCTGGGTAAAAGCACAACCGACCTCCTTGTAATCCTGACGACGTTCCATCTTTTGCCTGGCGAAGGTATTTCTGTGTTAACCAAGAAGCATGTGACATGTAGCCACATCATAAATGCTGTACGGCCTGGAATACCAGCATCTTCAAAGTGCTCGTGTTTGCTGTGACCGTATCATCTGCTTGGCAGCGGCTCATTGATGGACACACGATCTGATGCAAGTTCACACCAGTAATATTTAGATGATGCATCATGTGATCAAATGGCATAGACCTTGGTGATTTGCAACATGTTTCATCGTTCCAACACATCCTTGAAAACCGGATGAAGAATCCTTCACGAACCACTGGACTTGCTTGTTATCATTCGATAGTGCTGTGGATCATCGTGGTTTCAAGCAATCGAGCAGCTCACTGCTAAAATGCACTGTATTTCTTGCGAGCCTATCAGCCATCATCGTGAAGACATGTGTTCTTGAGCTCACTGGTGACTGTACGGCTTTTGAACAATCCAGTCACCGTCGGATGATGATTCCCTGTCGCCTTGTGTGTAATCTCCATCCATCTACTCCAACTCAGTTTCCCTGTCATGCATCGCAGATAGCTTAGGGTATTTCACAACCCGGTTTCGATTGCAACGTATCCCTGTGATGGTGATTTTCACTTGTATTATTGATGCTCTTCGCTCACCAAACGATTTTTCGTGAGATCCACGCACTGTACGAAGCACTCCTCAAGGATCATCATCTCTACACCTCAGGAATTTCCCATGAGGAGGTTCGGTGAACATCTGATGTCTGCACACGCTGCCGCGGGCTCGCTGTTTGCGAGCCATGGTTAGGGCAGTACAGAGCGGTGCGACGTGCCTCGAACAAGGGGAGGCTCATGGCGTGTAGAGAGGTCGTTCAAACTCGTTTATAAAATTGTACCATAAGAAGGCTCTACAAATTAGTTAGTAGACTACCCCATGATCTCACTGCAACTTCTGGGGTGCAGCCCTACTTCTCTGTTTATACTCAACCATTCCACAATACAGTTTAAAATATCTTATTGGAAAACAACATCAGAGTTATAAACCTGAAATTTGGACCCTGTTTGAAATCCTCAAACACGCCACCCCCCAATCCACATAGAAAGCAGAACAACCCCCTCACGGGAAAACATACACCCCAAAGCAGAAAAAGCAAAATGTCAACGCTATGGCCCGACGATCTGTTTTCCAAGCTGGTCACGGAGCCTGAGGTACCTTCCTGGCTTGAGGAGTTGAAGCGCAGGCGTCAGATGTCCACGGAGCCTTCCGACGAGAGCAGCAAATATCCCGCTGACGCAGTTGCGACGATGCTATCGGAAGGGCCCACACGGCAGAGGCCCGACGATCTGTTTTCCAAGCTGGTCACGGAGCCTGAGGTACCTTCCTGGCTTGAGGAGTTGAAGCGCAGGCGTCAGATGTCCACGGAGCCTTCCGACGAGAGCAGCAAATATCCCGCTGACGCAGTTGCGACGATGCTGTCGGAAGGGCCCACACGGCAGAGGCCCGACGATCTGTTTTCCAAGCTGGTCACGGAGCCTGAGGTACCTTCCTGGCTTGAGGAGTTGAAGCGCAGGCGTCAGATGTCCACGGAAGCATGTTTTGGATATCTGGTGGATGGTGAATTCGTGTCAAGGCAAGATAATAGGTCTGGGAAAGTAGATATCTCAGCGCTATACTCCAGCGACGGTCAACAAGTATTTGATCGAGTCAGGCATGAATTATTTCATTGGCCTAAATTGAAGCCGTCAAGAATCAGCTCCCAACGCCTTCCGGAAGCAAACTTAGAAGAGGGGTCCCAGTCTGATTCCATTCATCATAATGTTTTTGAAAAGGTGTTACGGTTCTGGTTGCGTAAAGAAACCAAGCAAATGAAAACCTCTTTGCAAACAAGGTAAGTCGATTGCTTTTCTTTTTTGTTGTTGTTGTTGGGGGTTGGGAGGATAGGCTTATTGCCAATTCAGATCTATACAAGCAATGTCTATCGAGATGGAATTAGGGATACTTTCATCTTGTGTTCAGGATTCACAATCAAAGTTTCAACCACTTCGAATTGTGAGCGAGACTCGATTTGAGACAAAACTTGGTCCAGAGGGAACTGAGAAGCAGATGAAGAAAAAAGCCAAAAGATTCATCAACTTTCAACCCAGATTGCCAGGCACCGCAGAGTTGAGCAATGCTTTCAATGGGAATCTCAAGATTCATGACAAAATGTCGGCAATCATCGAAGATCAGAATGAAATAGAGGAAATACAAGAAGAATCTCAACTTGTGAACGGAGTGCAAATATTAAAACTGCAGCATGACATCATGACTGCTGACTGTAAGGAAGTCTCAGAAACCTTGGTGGTGCCGAAAACTTGTTTTCAAAAAACAGAAATCTACAATCCTGTGAATAGAATTCGACGGAAGATGCTTATTGAACGCAGGTGAGGAATTCTGTGATAATTACCTTCTATCTGTTGATTCGAATGTCAGGCTCTTGGAAACCTCGTTGCCTGCCAAAGCGAAGGGTGCAGTGCTGTGTTTTCCTATTTTCGAATGTAACTCAAATGAACCAGAAGTGCAAACACCAGGGTATATTGCTTCAGTTCTCATTTCAATTTTGACGAGTGATTTCAGAACGAATCTCCATTTTGACTCTGAAGATTGTGAGACGGCACATTGCTTTGACCTAATGACCAGGTATGACAAGTAATCATCAATGATCATGTTGAGTTTTAAAGTTTTTGTGCAGATCCAATCGAGTTTCTCAGGTTATTGATGTAGAAATGGGTTGGCTGGTAACTCTTCCAGAGGATGACTCTCAAACATGAACAGAGAGGGGGTCAGGGGTTGGACGGAGAGGTATGCAGAAGCACCAAAATGTCTGGCAGCATTCATCGTAGTGTCTTTGAACTAGAACATGTCATGGATTAACAAATGGCATTTCCATATGGCGGTCTTATGGAATCCAAAGGACATGCCATGCCTAACGATAGTGTCACTTGCCTGGTTTTCTCAATGATTTTGGATCTCAATAGTATTTGAATAGCAAATCTTGTGTTTATTAGCGATTCAACCGTTTCTAATCCTATCTTGTTCTCTCATATGGGACTTAAATTTACCGTGTAAAGATAATTTGAACTTCTTGGTTCTCTTGACTTTTCCTTGCTAAATCTACCATGTTGCTTACAGTCGACACAGGTTCTTTGATAGAAGACAGTGTCAAATGCTATCACTGACTTGGAAGGCAACCGAGAATGATTGAAACTTGAAATCATTGAGCATCTACTGAGTCAGATAGATGGACTCTCACAGGAGCAAAAGCCTTTAGGAGAGAGAGAGAACCCTAAACCCTAAAGGCAAGAGAAGAAGCTTGGCAGAGCTGACCCAGCTTTAATTCTTGGCTGAGAAACGTGATCATGACTGCAACATTCAGATACTCTTGCATACTGGTCGACTGGAGGAGGAAAGACCTGAACGAC